TCTCGCTGAGCCCGGCGCCCGTGGCGGTGAGTGGGGCCGGGCTTCGGCACCTCCAGGCCGCGGCGCACCTTTTCTGGGGCTGCCCTCCCCGCCCCGAGCGCCGCACCCCGAAGCTGGAAAGGCACCCACAGCCCGCAGAGTGCCGCGTCCCCGAGCCCCGGGCTCCAGGGAGGGCCTCCCTCTCTCTGCAGCCGCCTGCCGCTGGCTTGCACTCCCAGAGCCGCGCACCTTTGGCGCGGTCGGTAAGAAAGCCAGGCACCCCTGGTGCCCTTAGGTGGCTGGTCCCTAGTGGACCTAGAGCTGTCAAGGCTCACGAGTGGGAGGTGCGCAGCCCCGTCTCCTGAAGGACTGGCTCTGGGTGCGACGTGCCCACATGCACGCGGGGCCTCTTCCTCCCGAGGAGGAGTCAGAGAATCTGGTTACTTGTCAGTTGGTTGTGGGCGACCTCTGCCAGCTGACTTTTTTAACTGGACAGTCTTCTCATTCCCACAGGATAATGTGGAAAGAGCAGATGCTTTACAGTTGTCCGTGGAAGAATTCGTGGAGCGATATGAAAGACCTTACAAGCCCGTGGTGCTGCTGAATGCCCAAGAGGGCTGGTCTGCGCAGGAGAAATGGACTCTGGAGCGCCTAAAAAGGAAATACCGGAACCAGAAGTTCAAGTGCGGGGAGGATAACGACGGCTACTCGGTGAAGATGAAGATGAAGTACTACATCGAGTACATGGAGAGCACTAGAGATGACAGCCCCCTTTACATCTTTGATAGCAGTTATGGTGAACACCCAAAAAGAAGGAAACTTCTGGAAGACTACAAGGTGCCCAAGTTTTTCACTGATGACCTTTTCCAGTATGCAGGGGAGAAGCGAAGGCCCCCTTACAGGTAAAGTATCTTGCAGTTGAGTGGTGAAAGTAATCTCACCTTCAACAGCATTTGTTAACAGCATTCAATCAGCTAACATTCTCCAAAACAGTGAGTGCTTCTCCCTTGGCTGGTGATTAAGTTCAGGGGCTGCTGATGCCTGCCTGGGCCCTAGCTGGAGTGCCACCTGGGCATCAGGATTTCTGAAGGCTTCCCAGGTGATTGGAGTGTGCAACTAAAGTTGAACCACTGATGAATATGGGAAATTTTAATAATCGAAGTCCAGCAATAAGCCACATCTGTGAATTTTTTTTTCCTATTAGGAGTCAATCTGTGCACAGTTCACTCAGTGTTTCTGAGTATTAGACCTTATATAGCTTTGAGAATAAAGATAATATATAAAACTGAAAAACTCAACTGTTTCGTGTATGTGTATTACATTACCCTTCACGTGCGGCTATTTCCATCCTTTAGGTGGTTTGTGATGGGGCCTCCACGCTCTGGAACCGGGATTCACATCGATCCTCTGGGAACCAGTGCCTGGAATGCGTTAGTTCAAGGCCACAAGCGCTGGTGCTTGTTCCCTACAAACACTCCCAGGGAGCTCATCAAGGTGACCCGAGAAGAAGGAGGGAACCAGCAAGACGAAGCTATTACCTGGTTTAATATTATTCATCCCCGGACACAGCTTCCAACCTGGCCACCTGAATTCAAACCCTTGGAAATCTTACAAAAGCCAGGAGAGACTGTCTTTGTACCAGGTATAGAAGAACAGATAGAAAATACTTTGTAAATTTTAGTAATTTGTCCTTTTGGAGCAGAGTTGTAAATAGAGGAGGCAAAAAAGAAAAATTCTTTTGCCTGCTGCCTGGTGAATGAACTGGCAGGAAGTGCGGCTGTGTTCTCAAGCACTCAGGGAGCGCTTGTCTGTTCAGCTCTTGGTAAACTTCATGTATGTCAAGGTCATACTGGGCTCTATCCCTAAGAGTTACCTAGTATCTTTGTATACAAACAGTGGCTCCTAGGAGTTTCTGTAAGTTGTATTCTTGATACATTGTAACCCTGGCTGGGTTGAATCCAAAAATAGTGATTTAGAGTTAAGAGGCAAGAAATCCCTCACCAGGCAACTACACTTTGATAGGCTGCGTGAGTGAAAGTGAGGCTATTTAAGGTGGGTATTCTAGAAGCTGATGAACTCTTTGCCTGTACAGTTTTGGTCACAGCTTTGATTAATGAAGGTTAAAAAACTTTTTTTGTGAAGGGTCAAGATAAATATTAGGCACCATGGAGCTAGCAGGTGGCATGCTGGTTAAGGGTGCTGGACTCCCACATGGCCAACTGTGGTTCAAGTCTTAGACCTGGTGGCTTGGTTTCTCACTTTCCTTCTCGCTCACTCACTCGCTCTGTCCCTCTCTGGTCAAATTAAAATGAGTAAAGTTAAATAATTCTTTTATATATACATATCAGGCACTGTGAGCCTTATGGTCTCTGTCACAACTACTCAGCCCTGCCCTGGTAGCGGGAAAGGAGCCTTAGGTAGTATGTGAACAGTTGGGCGTGTCTGTGCTCCAATAAAACTTTTGTTGACACATTTGCAGTCCCTGGAGCAGGACACTGCCCTGCGTTGCCCTCTGGGTAGGAATCGCCAATTTCCAGAGTCTTACAGTGATTGTACGTAGGACCAAACCTGTGTAACTGTTCCTTGGTTGAATTTCAGGAGGATGGTGGCACGTTGTTCTCAACCTTGACACCACCATTGCCATCACCCAGAATTTTGCCAGCAGCACCAACTTCCCTGTTGTGTGGCACAAGACGGTAAGAGGGAGGCCAAAGCTATCGAGGAAATGGTATAGGTGAGACGTTTTTCCTTTAGTCGTTTGCTTTGCTGCTGTTCCTACCCCAGAGATAAAATGGAAAGAGCCAACTGCTGTCCTGTCCTGTGCCATTTTGGGAGAGGCCAGGGCGAAGCTCGTGGGTAGAGGAGAGGGTCCAGGCAGGGCTAGTTCTCAGGGTGTTTGTCAGGTGGCAAGCTGAGACTCTGCATGTTCCATCAAAGCCGCTCCTCCGAAACATCTTAATTGGGATCAAACATCTTAATTGGGATCGTGTCTCCTTTCATTTGTTTTGTTTTTGTTTTGTTTTGTTTTGCAAAGCTAGCACTAGCACCAGCAGCCGTTTTGTTCGGGTTTGATTTTGGTTCATTCTTTTTCTTACCCAGAAGCATTGTTCCCATTTGAACTTTTACCTTCGATTCTGATGAGTGAGGTGACTCCCCTGGAGACTTAGCTCCTCTGTTTATCCACAGAACAGATACAGCACGGGCAGCGGCAGTGCAAGCCACCCCCAGCCACCCCGTGCCACTGTGTCCCAACTCTGACCTGGAGGGACCAGCTCTCGGGGTAAGAGAGGGATTCTGGCTTGCTCAGTGCTCAGCCTCTCTGCTGAGAGGGCCAGCGAGGGTGGTGGCTTCTGTTCTCCACGGACTCTCAGCATCTCAGGCCCACTACTCCGCCCCCCCAGGCCACTGTGCACTGTGATTGGTCACTCCCAAGGCCTCATCACAAGGCAGGGCTTTTGTCACTGGTTGTAGTGAGTGCCAGATAAGGTTCTTGAAGGGGAGAGCTGCTGCTCTTAAAGTCCTCTTCTGTTTTCCCTTTCAAGTGAGGGTGGTCTGTCTGTTTTGAGACCTCTCATTTCTTACAAGCCTAATCGTTTCTACTCTTAGAAATAGAACCTAACCAAACCCTACTCTGATCTTTAAGTGCTGTGCTGTGGAAAGGAAAGGTTTTTTAAAATTAGCTAGGAAAAGTTCAGGGGGAAAAACTAGAAAAGGAACTGTTTCTTCCAAGGGGAAAAAGGCTAAGGCCAACTCCAGAAAACCTACCCCACGTGTCACAGTACTGCTGGCTGCTTGGCACAAGTGGCAGGAGAGTGCCGGTATGGCTAGGGTATGGTTTTCCTTTCAGAAAAACTGGGGCGACGTATTAGAGATTTTGTCCCCAGCCTGGGGGTTCGTGTGCCCTTGCCACTGTATGGCACCCGATCTGGGTGGACACACCTGGCGTCTCTCAGGTGCTTCAGCTGTGAGTCTGTGTTGGTGTGTGTGGGTCTGCTGCCTGTCACTGCTCTGACAATGGCATTTCTTGCTCCCAGGATCTTGAAGCAAGAGCACCCTGAGTTGGCAGTCCTGGCAGACTCAGTTGACCTGCAGGAGTCCACAGGGATCGCCTCTGACAGTTCTAGTGACTCCTCCAGCTCCTCCAGCTCCAGTTCCTCTGACTCAGACTCTGAGGTGAGTCCTCACCTAGAGGTATCTGGATCCATCAGGTCCAGGTTACCCAGTTCATACCAGCCCCAACTTCTCCTTCTTCTGTCCAGGAAAAGAGTGTGGGTGTGTTCATTGTCTTCCAAGGACTACAACTGCCACCATTTTTGCTAAGGGGGACCTTTGCCCATCTTTTCAGTTTTACATGTGTGTGTGCATACACACGTTATTAAGAGAATCTCAGTAGTTAACGAAGGTTACTTGGGTTTTGGTGAGGTGAACACATGACAGAACACAGCTAGCAAGCAGCAGTGTCAGGATGCAAATTTTGATCCTGCTGACCTCAAAGCCCTAGAAAGAATCGTCCTCGTGGATGGTAACCTGTTAGCCTAGAAACGGGCCGAATCCAGTGGGTTGCTTAAATCTAGCCATAGTGCTGAGTGAGAGCGCCCTGTCCCTCAGCAGGCAGCATGTCTGCGTCTTCCTTCACACCATCTACCAATGGCGCCCTTTGTCTTGGGAAGAGACCTTACAGATGTTAAGTGCCGGGCCTCTTTGGTGGTACACATCGTGCTCTGTGTTAGTGGAGTGAAACTCTAATGAGTTTCTGAACACCGACTGTAAAATGTCTTTACAGTAGACATCTTGATTGAAAGCAAATAACCCTTCCTTTTGAGAACACTGGAGGGACCTTGGGCATCCAAGGGAAGATCGTGATTCTTAGGGAGCCAGAAACCTCCAACCAAGTGGCTAGAAAGACAGAAGTATGGGACCTTCACAAATGACTGCTTTGCTCCTGGGAGGGAATGCACGATATTTATGTTGTTTTCTGAGGTCAAGAGTTGCTTAATGAAGGGACCAGCAATTAGGGTAATGGCTATGTCGCTGGACTCCCATGTAGTCAACCGCGGTTCGCGTCCCGGACTCGGTGGCTTAAACTCACGCCGGGCGCGTGTGTGAGCGTGCCCAAGATCCCGAGAGGAGAATGGAGGAGAAGGGATTGCAACGTGGTCATCCCCCCTGGGGGGGTGATTTCTCGCTTTCTGTCTCTCTGTCTGTCTGTCTGGCGAGCGCACGTGCCCTATAGCAAAAACCTCTCCAAAAAAAAAGAGTTGGTTAATGAAGAGATGAGCTGCCTCCGGGTTGAATTCTTGTTTTCTCTCCTCCCATGTCCAGTGTGAGTCTGGGTCCGAAGGGGACGGGACGATGCACCGCAGGAAGAAGAGGAGGACTTGTAGCATGATGGGGAACGGGGACACCACATCCCAGGATGACTGTGTGAGCAAAGAGCGCAGCTCCTCCAGGTGACCACGCTCCGCTATTGTCTGTGTGGAAGGATGAGCTTGCGGCGAGGTCGGGGCCAGCCTGAGCCAGCAGCCTGTGGGTCATGCAGACAAGGGCAGGGCCCGCAGAAGCTAGAGAGGGAGGCTGCCCGGGAATAGGACTCATTCACTTAGCTTGCTCTGGTAGCTTTTCCCGCTACAGTTGCAAGTTAACCTTGTTTTATGCATAAAGGAAGAGTATGGGAGTGGTGCCAAGAAATCCTTTACGTTATTTAATAAAAATTGAATCCCTTTTATATCCTTGACATTTTCTTACTTTTGAGAACACCAGACCTTCCCATACTGCTCTTCTCCTTGGTATGGTCTTGGGGGAAAAGCAGTGACACCCCCCGCCCGATGTGTAGATGGCATCTGCAACATAGAGGCGAAAATAATCAGGAAAGCGGCCCACACCTTCTGAAGAACCAAGGCCTGGCCTCTTGGTCTTTCTCCAGCTTGCCATTGCTGTGAGTGCTCAGGCCAAGTCGGACAGCAGCAAAGGACTCAGTTTTCTTTGTAAAAGTGTAATCACATCTTCATGTTTTGTTTTGGATTTTGAAACAAGATGGGTTTAAATAAGTTGAAAGTTTCAAAGTCAGTGAGGCCATCTGTTTGTGTTGGGCAGGTTGATAGCCCAAGATAAAGTTTGTTACTCTGCATGCGTCCAGGGTCTCTCAGTCCCAGAGGTCTCTCTTCAGTGTGCTCGTTGAGCTGTGAAGTGAGGTTGTGAGAAGATAGTAAAATCCTGGTAGGGTCCTAAGTGTCCAGGGACCAGCACGTGACCACTACGGTTACGTCTCTGGACTCCCACGTAGTCAACCACGGTTTGGACGTGGCGGCTTAAAACTCATGGTGCGGGAGGCAGGTGGTACAATGGTTAAGGTCCTGGATTCCCACACAGCTGACCACGGTTCAAGTCCCAGACCTGGTGGCTTGCTTTCTCACTTTCCTTTTCTCTCTTTGTGTTTCTTTCTGGTCAAGTTAAAAATAATAATAACAAAAAATTATTTATTTAAAAAATAAAGCATTAAAGAAACAAACAAAAAAGCACACCAAGCACTTGTGCATTGTGCATTCCCAAAGTCCTGAGAGAATGGAGAAGGGATTGCGGTGTGGCCATCCCCCTTGGGGGGTGATTTCTTGGTCTCTGTCCCTCTGGCGAGCACACACACTATAGCAAATAATTTATAAAAAAAAAAAAAAAAGGAATTCTAAGTGTCTGAAGTCCTTGGCTGGTGCAGGTGATGTCCCTGGGGGAACACCTCCTTACAACTGAATGTTTTCTTAACTGCATCAGGAAGGGTCAGAACTTTGTTCTTTTCTGTGTATTTCTCCATTCTCTGGGGTCTAGCTGGAATTCCATGGGGAGATTCAAGTGAATTTATCAAATTAAAATGTGCTTTTCTCAACCTTGACTGTCCCTTCCACAGCCATACTCAAGTTTCTCTTCTCACCTTTCACAGTTATTTTTACTATTTTAGACTTGTTTCAGTACTTGGTCTACTATTTTATAACTCGTAAGAAGAATTTTTAGAGCAAGCGCTGCCAGTGCTTCGGTGGGGATCCCGGGGGTCCTGCTTGTGTTGCCTCTAACTGTGCACCCAGCCCACGGTCTACGTGCTCATTACAGGCAGTTGTACTTTCCTTGGCAGGATTAGGGACACTTGTGGAGGCCGGGCTCACCCCTGAGCAAATGCAGACTCCCTGAGGGGCTTCAGCGTGAGCTGTTGGCGGCCACCCAGCTCACTTCTCACGTCTTCTGCTCCCACCTCCTTGTCTTCCTTGAGTCTGGATCTTCCCTCTCTGGTCCGAGCTCCTGTGGATGGTCAAGTGCTGTTTTTGCTGCGTACTTTAGGTTATCAGGAAGTTTAGAACGGCCGGCTCAGTGAAATGCTGAAGCTAACGTGATGTTGGGTAAGGAGGTTCTTTGCTGACCCATTTAAAACCAAGCCAGTAGACCACAAGGCTGGAGGGGCTGTGACGTTTTTTCTGTCTTACTGTATCTGTCACCTCCCCGATGCAGATAAGGAACGTCCGCTGCCCGCAGCAGAGCCATGGAGGGTAGTGAGTGGTGTTGGTGTGTGAGAAGTCGGCTGTGCACTGCCCTCCCGTGGTCACCACTAGCCGAGATGCCCTCAGTGGCAGTGAGCCAGCCTGCATGCCTGCACCACCACCCACGGCCTGGGGCAGTCTTAGCTTGCTTTGTCTTGTCACCACAGAGAAATTTCAGGGCGGATTTTGTGGAGTGTCTTTTTGGGGTTGTGGTGGAGGGTGACACCTTGGGGTTGTTTACTTACAGAGTGGGGAAGGGGCTGGGTGTGTTCTCACCCCACAGTGGCACTTGGCGATTGGCGTCCTGGTGGGCCAGCCTGTAGACGAGTGGTGGCCCCTGCCGCGCAACAGGTGAGGCCTCTCGTCTATGGCCTGTTGACCCTTCTGAATAGCTCTGGTAGGATGTTGGGACTGACTGGCAGGTTATTTCTCTTGCCCTCTTGATCACCTGCTTGCCTTAACCTGTCCCTGAGTTCAGTTAAACTTCAATAAAAAATAAGAGAGGGCTTGTCACGGCCACAACCGGTCAGAAACACCTTCGGGCTTGGGATGCAAGTAAAGGTGTTAGAGCCTGGAGGGAGGGGGATGTGATAGGGTCCTGAGGTGCCACCTCTCACACCTCTCAGCGTGCTCCTGAAGAACACATAGTCCGGGGACCCCAGGTCTCTGCCAGACGTTAAGTTGCAAACAGTTCGTTGTTATTTCCTGATACCAGGGCACACGGCTTTTTCTCTAGAAGCCGGTCCTCTGTCATGTTGTAGTTCAGTTTTCTGTACCCTAAAATCCCCACTCCAGACGAGGCAGGCCTGCAGAGCCTCAGCTGCCCTCAGAGCCAGCACGCCTCACTCCTGCTGGGTCCTTGCTCCTCCTCGCCTACCAGAGGCTCAGCTCGGGGGCCCAGCCTGAGTTTGCTGTGAGTGCAGTCAGAGCCTAAATAAGTAGTCTCTTTGTAGTAATATTTGGATGGTGTTCCACCCTCTGCTTTCTAAAAAGACTTTCTTGTCATCATCAAAAAGCATTTTTCCTCTCCCTGGTATTACCACTAGGCACACTTGCCCTTTTTTCTTACCTTTCTCAGTTTCTGACCAGCTGCTTTTCTCTAAAACTTGTTTTAAAAACAGCCCCAAAATAGTCTCTTTGCCACTAGGGGGCATGGTGGGACATAGCAGCCAATGGCCTGGCTGCTGGAGCAGAAATTTGAGGCTAAGAGATTAGCTACCCAGTCTTCCTTCTCCAGATGCTAGCGGTGATTCTTGTTGGGTACACGGTACCCGCAGTACCCAGAAGCGAGGGCTCTGGCCCATCTGGTGTGTCCCACAGTCACTTCTGGCAGCCCCACTGTGGGGCCTGGGTGACTTATAAACCCTGCCAAAGAGTCAGCAGCCCCGCCACTGTCACCGTGCATCAGCTGAGCGCTCCATCCTGGAAGCACAGCAGGGATAAGTGGGGTGTGGCTAGGCAGTCAGGAGAGGCTGCGGGTGGGACCAGGGCCTCCGCCTTCTTCCCTTCTTCCCTTCTTCCCTCCCTGCTGGGAGCTGAGCCCCTACTGGGAGCCGTGTCACCAATAACAAGGGCAGGTTTGACATTAAGCTGCTTTCGGGGATTATTCTCCAAGACCACAGGTAATCTTAAAGCCATGGAGTCTTGGTGGGGAGGAGCAGGGTGGGAAAGAGATGAGTGGGAGGCCCAGGACCCTTGACCCAAAGAATCCAGTGCTGCACATCAGTGCTCCTGGGGTGACACCTTTGAGGGGAGAGCCACTGAAAACAGGTACTATCTCCATGCCCTTCCTGAAGCTGTTCCTAATGATGCAGACATTCGCCACACGCTGAGTCCTAGCGCTGCTCTAGGTGCCAGAGCTAGGGCAGCAGCATGCTCAGGGCCCCATCCCATGAGCTTAACACACGATATGTGTGCCAGTGGTCACGGGCCAGCGGTCAGTGTAGACCCGCGCCTGGTGTTTCTGTGACCGGAAGAGCAAGGGCAGGCTTTACCGAGAACGGGTCTGCTAGGTCTTACTGAAGAACATAAGTAACGTTACGGCTGTATGCTTACACTGGGACGTGACTTCTTTGTAAAGTAGCTAAAGTATTTCAACTGAAGAGCAGCAGGAACATTAGTTGGTGTAAGGGCTCTACAAAATTCTAGGTTCAGCCTTGGGTCTGGGAGTTCAGACACGAGTGTAAGGAGGAATGGCCGTTTCGCGGGAGGTGTGGAAGTGCTGTCTAGGAGGTAGATGTTGAGCACGCAGCTGTGGGTTCTTTAGGGGTGTATAGCTTTCCGCAGAGGAGTCGCCGTTGGTGTGTATGCTGTACTGCCGATGGCTTCTGGAGGGAGTCGCCGTCCTCCATCCGCACTGCCCCTCACTGGCTTCTGTTACGATGTGACATTAATGTCCCACTGTGTGCAGTAAAACTAGATGACTGTGCCCCAGGTGGTGGCTCTCCTCTGTCTTGTTGTTCAAAGACTTGAATCGTCTAGCCCCACCGACTCCTGGGAGGACGACTAGCCCTGGCCTGCCTCTCCAAGGCGACCGGCCAGGACAGAAGAACTGGGACTCTCTTCCGAGCGCCTGTGCCTCCTGAGTTGTCAAAGAGGACACTGAGCCGTCTCCTGATTCTGGGTCTGTCTCGCTGTGGGGACCGCCAGGAAATGCCTATGGGTCCGGATTGGTGTTTTTAACTTTTATTCGGGTGAAATTTGTTCATCATTTTAAATAAAGGAACTTAATTTGGAGTTATGGTTTTTGCATTGCTTTGTCCTGTTTCTTTTCATTTTCACTCATTGGAAAGTGGACAGAAGCAGTCTGTCAGCAGAACAAGACCCTTCAAAAATACACTCAAGACAGTGGAGTTAAGAGACTAAACTAAGGCCCAGCCCCTTGGCTGGAAGTCCCATAGTAGGGACTATAAAAAAGCCAGTGGCCGGAGACAAACCCTGCCCAATGCGTCAGTTTGGGGCCATCCTCGACAACTACCACTGAGGCGAACGCACTGCCTGCGACATGTGCGGCAGAGTGAAGCGCGGCCTCAGCCTGTAACCTCGCCAGGCTTGTCCAGCCAGAGCAGAGGAGGAGCCCACGGGGGCAGAGTTCTGGACTGTTGTCAGTGCCCCACAGTGGCAAAGCTTGCTTGGGCCTTTTCTTTTACTGGGAAAATTGGAAAGGAGGAGGGTTACCAGCATTTCCTCTCCCTAGGAGCTCACAAGATCGGTTCCTGACACTTGTTTCGCATTTGTGCGTCTCACTGGCATAGCTGCAGGCAGGCGGTGGAGTCGCCGTGCCCAGTAGCCATCTGTGGTCACTTGGGTCCTTTCACTTTGGCGCTGACTGGAGTGGACACTTTGCTAAGCAGTGCCCTTGAGCAGTTACTTCAGGTGATGTGCGCGGACCTCCCCGAGACTTGAGGCACTGACCTCTGAAGCAGACCTCCCCATTCGTAACCTCTTATACTCTTCTCAAGGACTTAGATTGGTTGATGGGTTTTTAGCACAAGCCTAATTAGGTTTCTGTGATAGTCTTCCAAGCCCCAGGCCAGAAAGCTCCAGCCGGTCTATGAGAGCTGCTCCCAAATTCCCTAAAAGCCTTAAGGCGGTAGTAAGCATCACTCACACTGCCATTGCACACCTCTCCGGGGCTGATGAGTTTCAGAAGCCTTATACGATCTTCCTTTCTTGCCCTGGTGCTGGGGATCCCGCTTGTCATTCCTGGAGCCCCTGCAGGAGCAGACTTAAATCTCCTGCGCAAAAACCAGCACTCTGTCCAGGATCTTGGTTTAAGTGGGTGGCCCCAGGTCCTGCAGTTTTCTGAGAAATGCTAAATGATCCTAAGCCAACCCCAGAACCTGTTCTTTACCACCTGCCTTTGTGCTGGGCACAGCGCCCCACAAGCTTGACTGTTTAGAATAACCAGAGTGGTTATTTGGCTGGGAGAATATGTATTTGGTTATAACATACTTACCTCAAACATGACAGTGCTCAGTTACAGAACCCTGGAAGGATCTAGACAAACAAAGATGGGCTACCTTTCCGTCAGGTCACCCACCCTCCACCCTCCACCCAGCATGAAGTCTGGAATTACACAGAGAAGGCTCAGTGGGGGAACCTTGACCCAAAGAACCCCGAGCTGAATTCCAGACACAGGGCTTAGGGGAAGCCACGTTGCAGTGAGGCCTGTTGAAGGCTGCTGCCCCGGCCCAGCCACATCTGGAGACGACCTCTGAATATGGTTGGGGCAACCCTGAGTCATCCAAGCCCTAGGGACGTGTTTGTGAAATTGGCAATGACTGAAAGTGATCGGGCTTTACATCTTCATTGTCTCACGTCTTCATTGTCTCACGAGGCAGGCTGTGCTGAGCCTTCCTGCATTACTCGCCCTCAACCTGCACTTGCATTTCCAAATGCTCTCAAATGACCCCAGGACGCCGGAAGATGGCAATCTCAGGGCACCCGAGTAATGAGTATTCCAAGCTGGTTTTCCAACAGCCTCAGCTCAGGTAGTCCAACTGTGCCCCAAAGCATAAGGCCTGCCTAGGCCCGCCTGTGCATCCCCAGGGGTCAGAGACCTTGTGCCCCACCATCTGAGTCACCCCGGGGGCGGGACCCGAGGCGGAGCGCCAGCAGAGACTCCGCCTCGGGGCGGGG